ATTTCTTTTTCAAGTTAATATCATCTGTCATGTGATAAGCAGGCTGCAATGGACACCGAGGGGAAAACTGGATGGGAGGAAATTGGAGATTCTCGTTTGGATGGGAACTTTGATGTGCAAGAGCTCAATGAAGTGGCAGCGCTTGCATATAGATGTGTCAACCGTAACCCTAGAAAACGACCTTCTATGAGAGACATTGTACAAGTGCTGTCAAAAATCCTTAAAATGAGGCACAGTAGGAGGCATCACAGGAAATCTCATTCTGCCACTGCAGATGACGTTTCTGTTGATCTGGAACAAGGAACAAAGACGCCAATCCCTGAACACCGGCGGGAGGAGTCCATTGATAGTGCAGCTGATACATATGAAGTGTAGACTACGTAGTTTCCATTTTTTTGTTCATTAAATTCCTTGATTTTGGTTTTGCTTTGTGATATAATTGCAGCTTACAGGAGCTAGGACACCCAAGTAGTTTTGATTTCTGATGGTGTTAGGAGAGAGGATTGCTGTTTGTAATATATATAGGTCCCATCTGTTTTTTTTTTCCCCCTTGAAATGGCGTTATCCTAATTTTGTATATTGCATCGTCCTAATTTTGTATATTAACACTTTCAACAATGAAATGGATGAAAAAATTTACTGAATTTTTTCTGCAACTCCGTAATTGGCCTTAAAACTTAATTGTATTTATCATTTAATATCAAGAATGAACCAATCAAAAATCAAATGTGCCTTTAAAAACCTTATTAATAAAACACGTGAACGATTTCCTGATTATCTGTTGATTTGGACAGATTTCAGCTGTTGAAGACAGCGGAGGTGAGATAACATGCAGCGGTCGAGCCGGTGGTGATGCCGACAACGTGAGTCAGGCAACAGTGGCAGTAGCGTGGCTGTGTTGGCAATAGTGGTGGAGGGTAGAATAGTAAATTAATTTTTTAAATTTAATTATTATTAATTATAAAATAAATCAAATTGAAATAAATTGTTTTAAGCGTAAATGGTAAGAAAAAATTGAACAGTGGCAAGGACGAAAATTCATATCGTCCCCCCACTCCGGCAATGCGAACTCCTCCAAAGTTTGGAAGGGAATGGGATACCCCTTCCCTTCCAAGGGAATGGGCTGATTACACCTCAGACCATATTCACTTAGCTGATTACACAAGGGAATGGGCCTTGTTTACTTCCAAAACTTTGGGTTGGTCAGGTCCATTTTTTTGATGCCCAAATTGAATCCATTGGACCCAATTTGACTCCATCATTCAGCCACGTCGTCCATGACATTCTATGACTTAAACCAATTTCATTTCTTTAACGAACAGTCCCTCCTACAATTGGTTAAGCTGGTTTCATTCCCTGAAAAAATTATTGTTTGGAAAAGACTAATCTTCTTTGAGTTATTAGATTGGTCTGACAGTTAAATAGGTTTATTCCCTTCCTTGAGTTTTTAAGTTTAAACGTTGAAGCCACCTATCACAATAACATTGTGACTTACCTAATCTTTTAGACTTGTACAATATTAAATAAACCTTGAGGATTAGTTGAGATACATGTAAGTTGGTCCAAATACCCCGATTACCCAAAAAAAAAGAAAAAAAAAAAAACTCACCTTCAAGAAAGAGAAATGTTAAACCTATACCAAGGATTTGTCTCTTATGTGCAGAATGCACGAGGGATTGATCAGGTCTAGAGGTTGTTAAACCATCCAATAAATAGCTTGACATTGGAAACATGGCTGGTCTTTTTGGGTGCTTTCCAGTTCTAGAGTCCCCCTATGACCCCCGCCCACTGACCGGGCAGCAGGACCCCCGAATGCATCTGCGTTACCCATTACTGCTAAAGTAGTCGACAACTCCAACAGTAAGAACTATTGTGACCTCGGATTAAAATAGGTTTTTTTTTTTTTTTTAATATGATATTTTTTTTTTGGATGTTCAAGCTGACGTTAGCACGATGTTATGATGACGTTAACATGTTGGCATCAGTATGATGACATCATTGGTTCGACCGACCGGTCCAATCGTTCAAATCGGAAATTGGGCTCTTGTCCGATTTAGAATCTGGTCCGGTTTTCAGAACCTTGCCTCAACTATATAAATGCACAAACTTTTTGGTGCTGCCCAAGTCTAGTCAGCGTGAAAAGCCATGGAAACGCAAAAGAAGAGATAAAAAACTCGGTAAGATCTTCTATGCTTATATAATATATACATATAATTTAATGATTTCCCGCAAAAGTATTCAAGGAGTGTTGATTGCCTTAATATGTTTGGAATATTGCGATTTTGAGTGAATTTCAATTAAGGGTTTGAAGATATAATAACTTGAACTTGTGTCATGAAGCAACTCAAATTTAATTGATTTTAACTTTTTCATCTTTAGAATGAGATTTATGTGAAGGGTTTGAAGTTCTATAGCATTGAGGTTTATTTGCGGGGATTTTTATATCTTAGAATATACGAATATTGTCTTTATAAACAGGTTTCAGCAGACAACCAATTTATGTGTTTTTGAATATTAAATATATAGTCTTAATTTTTGAAAATTGTTTAGAGATCACAATATTGAAAGTCATCTAAAATCAGAGTGGTTAATCTCAAATTATCTAGTTAGTTTAACAAAATCTGGTTTGACGTTTCAGATCAACACAGTGGCTGAAGCTAAATAAGAATAGCGGTGAAGGAATGGAAGGATCTTGGTCAGGGGAATTTAGAAAATGGGAGGATTTACATTTTGATATTCTTGTGAAGATATTCAGTAGTGTACCGTTATCTGATTTATCTCGCAATGTCACCTTAGTATGCAGATCATGGCAATTAATCTGTTGGCACTTCTTGTTCCAGGTAAACAATTTGTGCTTGATTTGAGTGTTATCAAGGATGTTGTTGAGCAATTAAGCAATACTTAATTGGAAAAAACATTACGTCTATGCATCTTGGAAATGTTGAATATAAACATTTTCATCAATTTGTGGAAGAAATTGGCAGAAACTGCTACACTCTTGACATGCCTGGTTTTCATTTATCATATACTGACACAGGTTTAATAATCGAAAATCTTGTTCGAGTAAAGGACATAAGTTTTAGTTGCTATTTATAAGCATGCCTGTTATACATTTTGAGGGCACTAGAAAGATTTTCCGTCGACTCTTTCATAATGTACAACTTTGTAGTTGCATTTTAAGCTTTAGTTGCTATTTAGAAGATGAATATTTTAGAAGAGATTGGTGGAATTGTTCTCCATTGATAAGCAGATCGTGATTGCTAGAGCTCATGAAGGCACAAATCCATCTGTTTGGTGGATGAAGATGAAGAGCAATGGGATGCCAATTTACATGTAATTGCAGATTTGTTATCATTGTTAGTATTTTCTTCTCTTTATTCTCTCTATCGATTTGATGATTCTTTGACATTAATATCCATTCTTTTATCGATACTATCTTGAACTACATTTTGTGCTATAATTTTAAGATATTAATTGATTTTATTCCTTCTCTTGTATTGGATAGATAATGTTATTGGTTCTTGAACACTGTGAAATGAGTACTTGAAAACGTTTAAATTTAATTAGCTTTCTTCTATTAACAAAATTTTAGTGTTAAAGCAACCCCCTTTTACATGTAATTTAAGTTGGCCATTAATCTTCAATTGGGTTAGTGATATACAGGATAGCAAATATAAGATTTGGTAAAGTATAGACTTAACTAACACGCTTAATAACTTGCACTAATATAATTATTTTATTTTTAATATTAATTCCGGTAAAACCATTTTAATGATGCTTATTTTGGCAAGTTTATCAGCCAATTTTCAATTAATTTCAGTAAAACATTTTTTTTTTTTTTTTCATTTGGAGTTTCTTGCTAGATTTATATTTGAATTTGATCAACACAGTAACAATTGATTAGCAATTCGGCATTTGAAGATGCATTTTTATTTTATTTTATTTATTTATTTATTTATTTTTATGACCGAGGGTTTCTAGACCAGTTTACGTATACCTTAACTAATTCTCTAGAACCTGAAACTATTGGTCAGATAAGAGCTTTAGTGGTTACCCGTATTAGCAAACCAATGAAGGATCGAACTTAGGACTTTTTGAGTAATACACCTAAGAGTTTCTATCGAACCACTCGACCACCCAGAGATAGTTATTTGAAGATCATGCCTTTGTTGTTAATATTTTTCTTCTTAACATTTTGAGTGTCTATTAAGATTTTTGGTTAATTAGAAATTAATTAACATTTTGAATGTATTTTGTTTGTTAAAAAAAAAGAAAAAAAGTTTCAACTCAAATGGATAAAAGTGTAATTTTGTTATTCTATATAAGTAAGGATAAATCTATTTTTATAACTCTATTATAAAGAGAGTTTGTACAAATTAACGTGACACATCACGTGAGTATTATGTGACATGATAGTTTATATGATATTGATGTGACATTAAGTTATATAGCTTTCAATGTCACATGGCATGTTATGTAACGTGCAATATTTGTTTGTATAAACTTTTTTTGTATGAGAATTTGTACAAATAACTTTACTCATATAAGTAGTCCTTTTGTGTTTTCAAGAGTATTTGCCTTTAAAACACAAAAGAATTCCTATACAACACAAATGATTAACTTTTTAGATTCTCATTCAACCAGCTACTTCTTAACAAAGTACAAACGTTGGTGAACATTTTATTGTTTAAATTTCTCAACTTTTCGTATATGAATTTGGAAATTTGAGTTTGCATCGACTAATATTAAAAGACCCTGTCATCTTCTTGTTTATTGTAGGGTAAGCTTTATTTCCAATGGAATAGCTAGAAATGTAGTACCCTTGTACTACAGTTGTCTGGTACAAGATTATTGATACATCTCTTAAATCCATATAAGCATTTCCAAACCAAAGAATGAGCAAGATTGAATAACAATGGATGATAAAGGAAGGAATTTAATTATATCTATTGCACTGTTTATCTCCTTTTAAGGCTAATCACAAGAAGAGATTAGCTCATTAATGCTTAAAACATTTACAATAAATACAAGCAATGTAAAATTTATACTACAGCGTTTTGGCTTCACCAAGTTTCACGGCACAGGGGCCTTCTAAGCGAATGTAGTCATACAATATCCCTTGGAAGGGGCTTTTGCTTCTTGACTGAGTTAGATAGATTGTGTTGTTTCCTCTGTAGAGTTTATTGCTTGGAACTTTAATACTGTAAAACCTGTACAACCCATGAATTCCATGTCTGGCTATGGCATTGTCCCTTCCGATTAGCCCTGTTGAGAAATGAGGTTTAACGGCATTTGCGTCGTTGATTCGAACCTATAACACCATTGTAGAAGTTCATTAGAAGAAGAATTAACATTGAGATGAATTGGTTTTATTAGTGACAGAAAAAGATGTGTTATACCTGAAATTCAGAGTCGGAGGCTGATGCTAAGGCCACTTGAAGTGTGTAATTTCCTGGATTATCAACATATGGAAGCTCAAACATAATCTGCCGTGTGGTTGCTTGAAATGTCCTATTTCCTATATCCCTGCAATGCAAATACTAGAAATTTAGAACCATGCCCTGAAAAATTAAGTATTCCAGACCCCGTAAAAGGTAATAGATGGAATAAATACCTGGTAACATGAGCAAAAAACCAGTCTCGAGTATAATCACTAACGCCGACGGTGTACTTGAGATCACCATTACGATATATATCTGCATATCTTGTCCATAATCCGTATTGCCTAAACCTGCAGGTCATACGAATTTATTCGGAATCATGCTCAATATAGAGGAAGACTTAATATGTAACACCTAAGTTTTAGTATGGTATTGGAGAGCTACTTGTCAGTGGTGTGGTTAGTGTACAGTCGGTTCATGAGTGTCGGATAGGGGTCTGGCACGAAAAATTCAGCAGCGGAGCGATCCGGAACACCAATCTCCCACAATGTAGGACCACTTCTGGGAGGCCTATACACAATGGCTCCCAACTTGAACTCCGATCCTGTGTTAAGCATGTTAAAGAAGCTATTAGTCACATGAAAGAAGGAAAACAGTGATAGGCCAACTTCTCATTTTAATTACTAACTATACAGCCTGTTTAGTTTTTGATTTGCCAATAATTTAGTCCGGCTCATAAAGGTTCATTGTTCAATTTTTCTCTTCTTCCTTCCAATTTTAAAATCAAAATTATATTTACCTGCTTTGACAGTAATATTAATGTTATGCTTGTAATCTCCAACAAATCCAGGGACCCATGCATATAAATTATAGTTCCCTTCTCGAACATTTTTTATGAAGAAACTCCCTTTCCCGTCGGTCTGTGTCCAGAACTGATAACACTGGTAAATAATTTCATACAAAATCGTTAGTTCCTCATTTCACTTTTAAGAACAAAAAGAAAATATAGAATAATAAATAATAATAAAAAAAAAAGCATCAAATTAACCTTCGTTTCAGTTTGCCATGATCCCACTTCTCCAGGTGCTGCCAACCCCACATATCCAAATTTTGCCCCTATTATACTCGAATTGATATATCTGAAAAAAAAAAAGTAAAATATTTATGCATAATTTTAAGAAAAATAAAAGAAACCCTTATTGCAATAATTTTTGTAACATGAGTACCGGTCATCGACTTGTAATTGACCGGAAACGTTTCCCCTTTGATGGGATTTAGGAAAATCTTTTGACTGAGGGAAATCATATGGCCAGCTTTTAATTTCTTCCCGCATCTAGTAAGAAGAACCAAAGAGTGAGTTGATAAAATTTTACTAGTAAAACTATAACAATTAATAAGAATGAATGCTTGAGCTTCCTAATATAAACCTGTTTTTTAGCATCTTTCCAAAGATCTGCATAGGTATCTTTATCAGATGAAACTGAGTTTAGATAGACAAGAACAGGACCCATTACTTTTTTCCAGGGCTCTCCATTCCGATACTCTGTATCTATATCCTTCCCACCATAATGTATACTAGTAAACATCTGCCAATCAACATTACCAACTTTCAGAAACACTATATGTTGTAGTATTAGTTTTCTGCATATAAACTAGGAAAAAAGATTAGATGTGGTGAGACTTACAGAGAGAACCGTAGGGCCAACATGGGAGGTGAGATCTTGCTTGATCGGGCCAGATGATCGGAACTCGGCACTGGGTGTGATCATCCAGAAACCCACAGGCGGATCAGATGATATCCACCCGTGTAATTCAGTATCTTTGCTTTCCATCGAGTACTGGTACTTGTCATCCACCTGACCCACAATAAAAAAAAGTATTCAGGGGACTTCAACATCCAACTTCCTATTTCTTTAAAAGCACTAAAGCTCTAATCAACCCTTTTCCTAAATTTATTAATTGAAGCTTCAAGAAACCATTGAAGGTATACCTCTCCTCTTAATTCTGGATTTGTTGGTTTGGTCAAGAGAACAGCCTCGGGGTAGGCAAGAGGCTGACCCGTTGCACGGTCTTCCGGCATTGGCATTACTCTTTGCCTCTCCTCCGATATTGCCATGTAATGGAACCTAATGGATATTAATTTTCGTTAAAATAAAATTAGTCTCTTTGATAATTAAATTCCTAAAAATTTAACAAATTTTGTTTATCTACTTGTCTTTTTGGAGCTTGAAAACAGCTCTAATTTGATCCATGTCGACATCGGGCCAGCCTGGTTCTCGTTCCATTATGGCATACGCATATAATCCAGATACACCACGCCGCATTATATACCTGTGGACTTCAATTAAACTGATGTAAATCAACCAGAATTCTTTGTTTCCTTTGATCTTCATTTTTAAGAAAGTGAAGTCTTACACTTAACCTTTTGTCTACATTTAAGGGAACGTTAGATCCATGTAGGGAACTATTCCATTTTTTTGAGAATGAAACCTCTACTTGGTCTTCATCTGCCATAATCACCTTAAAGTTTGTTCCTTCTAATCTGCATATATAGACGATTTCGATATAATCAACGACACATTATATAGTTTTTGTAAATACAAATTCAAGAGAGAATTTATTTACTTGTCGATGGTTTCTTCATCTCCTGGCTTATACCAAACCACGTCCCAGTACCTATAATTTGTAATTTTGTCAATCACAGAGAATTTAGTGTAGCATTCGGAGAAGGTAAGCTAATTAATTTAATTAAGTGTATTCATACCCTCGATTATCTTGATCATTATCTGTTTCTAACACATTATCAATTCCATTGTAGTTTATTCCTATGACTTCACCATCTGGGTTCGACAGAGTCACTTGGACTAACCCATTACTCATTACCACCTGAAACAATAGATTTAGTATATTTTTTATCATTAAATTGAAGCTGGCAAATGAAGATTGGGAAAGCGTGGGTTTTACTTGTCTACGCTTTTCGGTATTCAATTTGACATCAAGAGACGCCTTAAGTTCTCTCTCATTGATACTCCCCAGAACTTTTCTGCAAACAAACAAAAAAAAAAAAAAAAAAAGGTTCGGCAAAACCGAACGTTACCGAACAACCAAACCCAAAAAAAAAAGGAAATAATAAAATTTATCTCAAGGCGAAGTGAATGTTTTCCATATTTAAAAGATGAAATATGCCAAAAATTTATGGCATATTTCATTGATTCTCTTTCAAACACAAAAGGAGAAGAAAAGATGAAAGGAAAGAGCAAGAGGGAGACAAGGAAGAACCTAAACAGGGTGTTCTCGCTCTTAGAACAGACTCCGGTGAAGAAACGCAACTGAATAAGTAATGCTAGCAACGCAAAAACCCAACTCCATTTGACATTCCACCTTGTCATCTCCGTTCTCTTGATGGGCAAAACCTGCACTAAAAGTATAGATAAAATAGAAAGACTCTTTCAGGAAAGATGAACTCAACTTATGATAAACTCAACTTATGATAAAAATGGCCGGACAGAAAGTAGAAACAAATTAAAGAAGCCGATAAAAGGAAAACTCAAATAGGAAAGTATATAAATTAAATATAGCAATTAATATAGAATCTCATAAAAGAAAATCCAGTAAAGATTCTAAGGAAATAGTAACATATACCTTGATAAATCTTGTTGCCTTTTTAAAACTCAAAGTATTCTGTGAAAGATTTTATGTTTGCAAAATTAATTATAAAAATCTTGATGAATGATTAGAATGATAAATGTCAAGTACTTATAGAAGTGAATTCTTTGGTGTGTAACCACCGAATTTTCTTGAGTTAAATTGTTCATCTAATGTTGGGGGGGTTTCCCTTCTGTCCTAATCCATAAATCGATAATAGGTAGTTAATTCAGGTTTGCTTTTCTGTTTTACTCGATAATTGATGATAAACAGTAATTTATTGTGAACTGAAGTTGACAATGGATTCTAAAGTTGTGGACAGCCCACAGGAGGTAGTTTTTGTTACACCAAATTTTAGCTGGGTAAGGTTAAAACTTTTTGGAATACATGGAAAATTGTCCAAAACATTATGTACCAAAGAAGTTAGTAACATATTAATCAATTTTTTGTTCCTTGAACCCAGGGATGACACGTAAACCCGTTAGATTTACGTACTAGATTTGATTAATGTCAGATTTGCATTCATCATAGTATTTGGCACCATAATATGATTTTTAGACAAATTAGAACTATCAACATGTCGCCAATCCCCAAGCAAAGGTTGGGTATGTGATTCTCTAACCAAAGTAAGATTACCTTTACACTTATCAAAACTAAACTCATGGTTCGGCCTTTTCAATTGTTTATTCTAAATCACTGAATGCCACAAAGAGGCAAAGTACTTTGCAAAGAATGATCAATATACATTACAAGAAACGAAAGATCGTGCAAAATTTAATTAAAAACTTTCATCTATCAAACTTTCCAGCCAAACCCTCGTCGAAATCTTTAGTAGAGGAAATTTCAAATTTCAAGTTTTCCATTTTGGCCTTAAAACCAGCCATTGGTTCTTTTCCCTTACTAGAGTTGGCAGTATTTGTCGTCAAGATTGCCATCACTGATTCATTTATTTTGTTAGAGGGCTATAGTGGTCAAGGAGGGCTCTATTCTCAAGGTTTGTTGCAAAACAAGTTAGGTTTGTTCCCTGACTCAACTTAGTCATGCTGCAATTCTTTAAAACCTTCGGAGACAAGGGGATGGGGCATAGGGAGAGAAGCAAGTGAAGATTCTCTTTCTTCACCGGTAGACATTGTTTGACAAAATTCGATTTCATGGCTGAGGGTTTGTGTGTGATTTCTTGGACAAGAAAAAAAAAAAAAGAGGGAATCTTTGTTTTTGTTGGTTGAGATGGTGGCTTTGTACTTGCAATGTGATTTTTTAAAAGGCAGAGACACTTTTAGTTATCAAGTAGCCAATCAAATATAAGGTGGGCAACCAAGTCATGCATAATTGAATTAAGTAATGTTTTAAAACCCAGTCGGTTGAATTGGGACCCGAGCCTTCACTGGACTGAGTTACCAATTTTCCTATTCACCGAAAACCCTAAAAATTGATCTTTAATCGAAATAAAATTACACTTACCCTCATCAAAATTGAACTCATGCTTCGGCTTTTTAAATGTTTATTCTAAATAAAATCACCATTATCAAAATTTAACTCGTATAGTCCTAGTTCTCTAAATATTTAATCAAAATCAAATTAGTCCTATCAAAATTTAACTTAGCCTACTTAGGGCAATATGATCAACTATGGCGATGAACAAAAACACCGAAATTAATTTGAAACGCTAACAAATAATGAAAGATGACGTGAATAGACAAGAGGCAAAATTTTAAATCAAGATAGCAGAAGGTTGACACGCAACCTGATTTGTAAAAAGATTATAAAGAGGACTTGGAATATAAATAAAATGAATTAGTTACAATAATTAATAATTAATATAAAATTAGTGCTAATTTGTAATTGTAATTAATTACCTTGGAATCATTCACTACAGTAAAATTCTCTAACTCTCTTTCTAAATTAAATTTCAAATATATTACATTTGAGTTAAAAGGCTAATTTAATTTAATTACAAGAATAAATAATATTAAATACTAACTCTTGCAATTGCAAAGAACTAAAGTATATATCCCACATTGCCTTTGCGATTACAAAGAAGGTCTGATGGGTATACGTAGAAGTATATCTCCCACGTTGTCTTTGCGATTGCAAAGAAGGCTTGATGGGTATACGTATATTTATCCAAAATCCATAATTCAACAAAAAGAACTACGTATAGTTTTTTCAAACACGACATGAAAAGCAAACCGGAAGAGTTAAACCAAAATAATCGAAAGACAATATAAGATTGAGATAATAAGTTTAATTAATTAAGTAAATATTAATGGTGGTTAATTAGAATAATTAAGTAACTTTTCATACAATTGTGTTGGTTCATAATAGAGATGTCAAATCATTTTATCTCATTTTTTTTTATAAATAAAACAATTAAATTATGCGTGCACATCTTGCATACATTGTGCACATTTTTGTCGTTATTAAAAATAAATTATCTAATATAAAACATATTCAAACATAAAACTTCATAGTGGTTTGCTAGACCCATTTGAAATCTCTGAATTTTTTTTGTTTTTTTAATAAGTAATAATTAAATAATGAATAAAACAATGTACAAATATACGAGGGGCATTCCCCAAGCGAAGACAAAAAGTCTCAATCAGAATAGGAAACATCCATAAAGCCACAAATGACAAAAAAGAGTATGCGGCTCCTCAAAAAAAAAAAAAAAAATCATTTTTTAATCAATTCAGCTCCTACAATTAGAAAACAAATGAATACAAAACTGAAAAAACCTAATTTCAACTTAAATTAAAAGCACAATTTGTCACCTATATGATTTCTTAGAATTTTCGCCCTTTCTTTCTATAAGCCCACATCAATTCGGCTTTTCTTCTCTATATGGAAGACTAAATCGTTGAATGCTACAATAGTTAAATAATTGCAAGAGATCAATATACATTGCAAGAAATGCAAGATCATACAAAATTTAATTAAAAACTTACATCTATCAAACTTTCAACTGAACCCTCGTCGAAATCTTCATAGACGAAATTTTAGATTTCAAGTTTTCCATTTCGCCCTCAAAACCAGCCATTGGTTCTTTTCCCTAGATTACCTCACCAGTTCATTTCTTTTGTTAGAGGGCTATAGTGGTCGAGGAGGGCTCTATTCGCAAGGTTTGTTGCAAAACAAGTCAGGTTTGTTCTTACTAACTCAGCTAAGTCACGCTGCATTTCTTTAGAACCTTTGGAAACAAGGGATGGGGTTGGGGAGAGAACTGGTGAGGATTCTCTTTCTTCTCCGGTAGACATGTTGACAAAATTTGATTTGTGGATGAGGGTGTGGTGTGATTTCTTGGAGAGAAAAAGAAGAAGGGAAACTCGGTTTTTGTTGGTTGAGATGGTGGCTTTGAACTTGCAATGTGATTTTTTATAAGGCAGAAACACTTTTAGCTATCAATAGCCATCAAATATAAGGTGGGCAACAAGTCATGCATATTAGATTATGCAATGTTTAAAACTCAGCTCGACCAAACTGGTTGAATCAGTTCAATCGAGACTCGGCCTTCACTGGTTGGGTTACCAATTTTCCTATTTACCAAACCTCTAGAATTGGGATGATTATCTGCAAAAAATTGAAGGTCAAGATTTTGTTTTTGAATAGAAAGGGTTGGTGAGTACATGGTAGCGACATAGGTGATTTCCGTGAGTGAATCAACTGGAATCGAAAAACCAGCAACAGCAACAGCTGACGATGGGCGAGGCGAACAGGGTGGTGGGATAGGTTTTGGTCAAGGCTAAGGGGAGTATTTACGTGGTGATAGGGAGGGTTGTCAACCCGACGGTGGTGAGATCTGGCCAAATAGAATTGATTTGGCCGTCTTAGGTAGATTTTATGGGAAATAGCTCAAAGGATAATTGAAATTGCATTTGTGTGTCACCATTGTCAACCAGTCGACCGCCGATTTGTATTTGAGTGTGTTTACTAAATTTCAACTGTGGAAGTAACTATAATTTTTAAAGTAATTTGCTAAATTTTAACTTTTGGACACCCATTTGACCCTAGGTTGCTTATTAAAACATTGGAATTAAGTCTAAACCATGATTTTTTACTTCATGATTATTCTATAAATTGTGTAATTTAGAATTATTATTTTTTAATTTTCTAATTGTATTACTAACAACTAATATAACATTAAGTCAATGATTTCCCATATTATTTGTCATATCATTTTATTATTATCGTGATAATTTAAAATTTATATTATAGCATTATAATCAAGTGTTAATTATTGGTTT